ATAAGTGACAATTGTGTTCACCTTTGCGATCATGCACAGGAAGGGGGGGGCAGGGGGGAATTTTAAAAAATGTTTTCTTTATTTTTTTACTGCCCTTTCTTTCTTTTTATCAATGTTATTGTTTTCACAGGGAATATAAATATCCAATAGGCAGTGGCAGGTACTCTTTCCTGAGATATCTGGAGTCTATTAGACTCTAGATCTTTCCTGTGCCCTTAAAGCATCTGATTACACCAAGATCACTGAAATGATGAAACGCTTGTAGCTTCCGGTTTATTAGACCATGGAGATGCTTGGAGCCACTCTAGTCTCCGATCATTTCTATGGTCAACTGGTGGAACTGCTGGCTGCATTCTCGGATTCCCCTGTGGGACGGGAGAACTCGATAAAAACCACGGAAGGTGGCGCAAGAAGGGTGGGGGGGGGGGGGGGGTCATCCCTTCCCGCTGCTTGTAAAAATGATCCAGCAGGTTATTAGCCGCTAGGATTTCTTTTACATGAAAACCGCCAGCTGAAAAAAACAATAACAGGATGATTCCTGTAGCTGTAGGCATCATCCTGGTATAACCAGGATGTACCAGTATGTTGCTGGTCCTTGTTGGGCATAACAGCAGAGAACATGGGCATATGACGAATCGGGTCTGCGTGCCAATATGACCACAATTCATTCTTTTTTGTAATGCCCATGTTGAGGGTTAGGCCCAAAAAAGTTTTAAATTCAGAAAGCGTGATAGGTTTCCATGTGAATTGTCTGGCAAGAGCTGAATTTGGGTGGGTGGCAATGTATTGTTGTGCATATAAATTGCTTTGGCCCACAATCAATTGATACAAACCTTCTGTGACAAACAGCGGAGGGGCTAAACGCTAGTGGTGGCAGCGATCCTGATAACACCGTGTTTTTGGGGACACTATACAAAGGAGGCACTAGTATAGTTCTATTCGTGATCCATATATTGATCCATACAAACACTATGCTAGTAATGGGGGTGATCAGCGACCTATAGCGTGAGTGCGATAGTGTGCACGCAATCTGAAGCTAGCTGACCCTAGCTGGAAGGGGCACTGATGTCGCTAGTGGCAGTAATATACTGATCAGTAAAAAATGTAATTTACTGACTGTACTAATGGCACTAGCTAGGTGACAGGATGATCAAAGGGTTAAAAGGGCAATCAAAGGGTAAAAGTGCTAATCTAATGTGTGTGTGTAAAATGTAGTGCTTTTACTCAGTGTGGTGTTCGCTCTTCTCTCCCTGGACCAACAGGAGGGGCAGCAGAGGGCACCTGGAAATAGAAAGCAACGTAAGGGTACGTTGCTTTGCCCTGAGCAAAACTAAAAAAAGTTTTATTTAAATGTTCTCAATATTTAATTTTTATATATTTTTTTAAACATTTTTTTAAAAAATACTTTTATCAGATTAGTGCAATGTTACCATAGCAATGTTGTACTACTCTGGGGTGATCAGATATTTTTTTTTTTTTCGTCGTTTTGCTTGTACCGATCACCATAAAAGTACTGTGGGCAGTTAGATTGTAGTTAAAAGCAAACAACAAACATCACAAAGTGCCTACTTTAATTTTTATTAGCCAAAAAAAGTTTTTGCTTTCTGATCCTGGTCTCATTCTGTTAGTAGGGGCTTGAGAAAAAGGAGAGATTTTTTCATCATTTTTTTCATTTCATCATTTTTCTTTCGTCTTCTGTTTTCTTATTTATTACATCCTCTCTTTTTTCCCATTTGGTTTCCTTTACCCCCCCATTTAACATCCATGACTTTACACTATTCACCTTACAGCAATGGTCAATCACTGGTTAATTGGTTAACTGATCAATTAGACTCACGTTCCCTATATATTCACCCCTGTTCATCCACCTCCCCCTGCTTGAAAAAGGAGCGCACTTCCGCCTTCCACGGCCAGTGCATGCTCCGAAACGCGTCGCAGTGCACCCTGGGATCTGACGTCATCACGGCCACGCCGCCGCTACGTTCCAGCGTGCATTCCATCCGGCTCTGAGGGAGGACGTGCATGCCGGCCGGCCTCACCGCTGTTCCCCTCCAGCCACCATGATGTTCCAGCCAAGAGATGACTTCCCCACATCGCAGTAAGATGACGGCTCTTCACCCGGGTTACTACCCCACTGTTAACTATTGTTAACCACGGTTTTTAAGCTTATGATTACTTCACACATGTGAGTGTTTCTACATTTAGACTTGAATTAAAAGACTTATTGCACTTAGAGGCGCTTCTCTCCTTTTCTCATCTACAGAGGTTGCTACAGCTTATTTCGAAGCCTTGCCCTCAGTGCCACACGGAATCCTACGCTCTTCATACAGTAGCCACTAATACCACGATCACCCCATACTACCATTTCCCAGGACTTTGCAGTGTTTGCGCTGTTACAACCCTTCCTCATTTTTTCTGTTAATAGGGGCTTGGCTTGACTTTTCCAAATTTGGGACTCAGTACTGTCCACAGAGTTAAAGCCTACCCTTATACTGTAAGCCATTTTGTCCAACCTGAGTATCCTCATTGGCTAAAACGGTGATCTCATTGAGCAGAGAAAGGTTGGTGATTGGAGTCCTCCCTATCCCCCTTTAACCCCTCCTCTTTCCATTATATACATACACATTGGGGCTGATTTACTAAAACTGGTGCTGCTCAGCATGGTAGCCAATCAGCTTCAAATTCAGCTTGTTCAGTAAAAAAAACTGGAGGCTGATTGGCTTCTATGCAGAGCTGCACCTGATTTTGCACTCTCCAGCTGTAGTGAATCAACCCCATTGCATATTTGGCATTTTTTTTAATTATTTTCCTCATGTGAAGTCTCCATCCCTTTAAAACTTATCCTATCTGCGGTCAGCTCTCAAAGATACAGAGAGTTACACTGTCTTGATGAAATCAGTGCCAGTATTTGAATCATTACACTTTGAGTTCAGAGTGCTCTGGTAACACCCTGAATTCACCTTACATCCTCGGTCTTCCAGATTAAATGCAGCTAGGTGTCCTTTAACTCAGAAGACTAAGGACATCTTGTGGCAGAGAAAAGGTAATGTGGGGGGCAGAGTCAAAAAAAGAGGAGAGAATTGCAAACGGATCTGCTTTTAGCTATCTTAAACATTGTTTGGGACTTCTTTAAAAATGTGGTCTTTAAAGCAGAACTCAACTGCATCTGAGCACCGAAACCAAAAAATGCTATTTAATTCTGTTTTACTATTCAGAATAAACTCACCCATCCTTCCATGCCCCCATACTTTATTTTGTTGAGAAACATCCACCTAGCATTTCTAGTCATGGACATCCTGAGTCAGCCCAGATGATTCATGCAGAATTTACTTTGCGGAATCCACCTTCTCCTAGCTCAGGCATGCAAGTAGGGGTGTGTGCTTAGCTTAGACAGCCCCTCCTCCTGTTGAAAGAAAAAAGAATGCCCATGAACACTCCTGGGATGTATTATAGCATTTTGGCCTAGGCTAGGAAGCAACTGAAGAAATGGAAAAAAAAAGTTTAAAACAAGTAAAGATAACATACCTTCCTACCTATTTACTAAGGCTAGTAGCATAAGGATTAAAAATAGAAAATGTTGAGAGAAGTCAGTTTCACTTTAAGCAGGGCTTTACGTTTTAAAAGTTCTAAATGGCTGACAAATACACTTTAAAGGTTTGTATAACATGCAGTGTAAAGGGTATAATATTGCAAATGTCACTGTTCCTCTTTAATTTGAAGGCAAAGAAATATTATCCAAAGTGAATTGAAGGCTCATGGAAAGAATTTGTCATATAATGTGTATGAGCATTTAGAAACCCCATCTGTCACTTGTTTCTTTAGGGAGACCTTGCTGAATGTTTCCAAAAGTCATCCAAATTTCAGTAATGTGAACAGGGATCCAGCAGGTCAGCTCCTGGCATCATTGTTTCATACTTCTAAACAGCGGCAATTCTATTTATTGTGATGACTTAATCCAGAATGAGGGTTGTGTGGGTTTTGTCATGCTGCCGCAATGCGTTTCTTGTCACTTAGTTATGAGAAATCTCCTTAAGCTAACTAGAAAGCCAAATCTTTTACTGTCATGTTCCAGTGACCTCAGAGTGAAATCATTGGCAAACTTGCCGGAATGAAATCTTTCCAGAAAATCTGACAAATGCTTTTAAACTCAAAATATTAGCTGACTGTGTAATCACATTCTACAATTCTTCACCTTTTATGAGAACCAGTCAGTAATCGGTGTTTATAATAATCTAGTTCTTTACATTTGATATATTATATATTTACATATTATAGAAAGGCAGTCTTACCTTTCAAAGAAAGATTCATTTATTTAGGCTTTATTTATTTATTAAAGGTACTTATATAGCACTGTCAGTTTACGCAGCGCTTTACATAAATATTGCTCATTCACGTCAGTCCATAACCCTCAAGGAGCGTACAGTCTAAGGTCCCTAACTCACATTCATACATACACTATATTTCCAAAAGTGTAGATGCCTGCCTTTACACGCATGTGAACTTTAATGGCATCCCAGTCTTACTCCATAGGGTTCAATATTGAGTTGGCCCACCCTTTGTAGCTATAACAGCTTCAACTCTTCTGGGAAGGCTGTCCACAAGGTTTAGGAGTGTGTCTATGGGAATGTTTGACCATTCTTCCAGAAGCGCATTTGTGAGGTCAGACACTGATGTGTCAACCCCACACCATAATCCCCCTCCACCAAACTTTCCACTTGGAGTCAGGCAAAGATCGTTCTCCTGCCAACCGCCAAACCCAGACACGTCCATTGGATTGCCAGACAGAGAAGCATGATTCGTCACTCCAGAAAACATATCACCACTGCCCTAGAGTCCAGTGGCGGCGTGCCTTACACCACTGCATCCGACACTTTGCATTGCACTTGGTGATGTAAGGTTTGGATGCAGCTACTTGGCTATGGAACCCCATTCCATGAAGCTCTCTATGCACTGTTGTTGTGCTAATCTGAAGGCCACATGAAGTTTGGAGGTCTTTAGCTATTGGTTCTGCAGACAGTTGGTGAACCTCTGCGCACTGTGTGCTTCAGCATGCGCTGACCCCACTCTGTCATTTTACGTGGCCTACCACTTCGGGGCTGAGTTGCTGTTGTTCCCAGTTGCTTCCACTCTGGTATAATACCACTAACAGTTGACCGTGGAATATTTAGTAGCAAGGACATTTCACGGATGGACTTATTGCACAGGTGAGAACCTATCACGGTACCACACTTGAATTCACTGAGCTCCTGAGAGCGACACATTCTTTCACAAACGTTTGTAGAAGCAGTCTGCATGCCTAGGTGCTTGCTTTTATACACCTGTGGAGGTGATTGGAACACCTGAATTCAATGATCTGGAAGGGTGTCCCAATACTTTTGGCACTATAGTGTACACATACTAGGCTTTAGGGTCATTCTTTCATTTGTGAGAATTTTATTCTTGGAATGGACTGGTAATAACCCTATCAAACACCTCTGCATTCTTCAAAAGATTGGTTGAAATTTGAAGACGACGTTCTTTCTGATCTTCTGTCAAGACTCAAGGCATCATCTTTGCAGAGATCTATCTCCTTCCAAAATCCTTTATTAGAATTTGCCACACTGTTTTTTTGTTCATGTTCAATTCTTCTGCCATCATTCACAACACTCAATCTTTGATCTGAGCACACGAGGGTTTGCACTCTGTCCACTTTTGCATGTATCCTTTACATTTTTAGCTGCCCACTTCTTGTATCATCGTGGACATCTTCCCACCCCTCCTTAAACCGCCTGTGCCACAAAACACTTGATTTCTCCATGGAATGTTCCCCATAAGCCTGTTGTAATGCAGCTAAAGTTTCACTCACACTTTTGTATATATTTAAGCAAAATTTGATGTTAATCCACTGCTCTTGTTCCTGTCACTCATTTTCCGCCAACAGCACTATGTACATAAGTGCTATTTCTTCTACTACTCCGTAAAGATTAAGTCAACTGGTCTGTGACCCAGGCGAGTGCAAGTCAGTCAACATGTCAGAACATGCTCGAGTGCAAACGACTCACCAACATAGTGATATGCAGCGGGCATTGAAAAAATTAATTGGTCACACCTGGTATTCTTTTGGAAAGCAAGTTAACTAAAGCCTTTTTAAGTGACAGTTTTTGTCTGCATCCAACAGCTCAGGCACGCATTGATTATCCATTACTTTTCCAAATTTATTACATTTCTGATTTTAAAGAAATGTTCGAAAAAATTCAATGTAATAAGGCAACTTCGAGTCATTCTTTATACCACTGCACCCCCAGAAATGTACAGTAACATTAGGCTTGTGTGATTGGCTCACTATTTTTCTCAGACAGCTGTGCTAAGCTGCAAGTAAAATTTTAGACATCCCCTGCAAAATTTCAATTTCGCTGAGATAACGGTTAACGACTTCTAAAGGGGTGCAAACACTGTAACCTTCCCCTTAAAACACTTAACGTGTGCCAGGAATGTATAATGAACACAGGCCCTCACATTTAGAAATCAATCTGGAAAGGACTTGGTGAAACAAAAAGATTTTACTTCTGAACAGAAAAAAGTAGGGCTACAAAGATTGTTAAAATCCTTGCAATGTACATTGATCGCTCAGAGGGAACTATTTTTCTCAACAAACGTAGAGTTACACTTTAGGACAGGAGTGGTGGGTGGAAGTTTTTCTTTTTTTCAGGTTACAATTCTACAATTCTTCACCTTTTATGAGAACCAGTTCAATGCAGCCAGCATTCAAGTCTCTTGAGCGCCCTTTGCTTGTTAGTAACCCCTGGTGGGTGGAGACAAGGTACAGTTAACCCCTTCAGCCTGAACTGGTGGGGACAATGCGGCGTGGCATGGAAACTATCAGCCTGTGGCACTGCTGAGGTGTTATGGAAGACCAGGATGCTTCAATAGCGGCCTTCAGCTCTTCTGCATTGTTCAGTCTCATGTCTCACATCTTTCTCTTGACAATGCCCCATGGACTTTGGACCACTGAGCAACAGACCAGGTCTGTTTTTCCTTAGCCCAGATTCTGACGTTGTTTGTTGTTCAGGAGCGGCTTGACAAGAGGAATACGACATTTGAAGCCCATGTTCAAGATCCGTCTGTGTGTGTGGTGGCTCTTGATGCACTGACTCCAGCCTCAGTCCACTCCTTGTGAAAGTCCCCAACACTTTTGAATGGCTTTTTCCTGACAATCCTCTCCAGGCTGCGGTCATCCCTGCTGCTTGTGCACCTTTTTCTTCCACACTTTTCCCTTCCACATAATTTTCTATTAATGTGCTTTGATACAGCACTTTGGGAACATCCAACTTCTTTTGCAATTACCTTTTGAGGCTTTCCCTCCTTATGGAGGGTGTCAATGATGGTTTTCTGCACTACTGTCAGGTCAGCAGTCTTTCCCATGATTGCGATTCCTACTGAACCAGACTGAGAGACCATTTAAAGGCTCAGGAACCCTTTGCAGGTGTTATGGCTTAATTAGCTGATTAGAGTGGGACACTTTGAGCCGAGAATATTGCACTGTTTCACAATATTCTAATTTTCTGAGATTGTGGATTTGGGTTTTCATGAGCTGTAAGCCATAATCATCACAATTATGACAAATCACGGCTTGAACTATCTTGCTTTGCATGTAATGAGTCTATCTCATATATTAGTTTCACCTTTTAACCGTTTCAATACCGTGCAATTTTACACCTTCCTGCCCAGGCCAGTTTTCAGGTTTCAGCGCTCTCACACTTTGAATGACAATTGCGCGGTCATACAACATTGTACCCAAACTAAAATTTGATCATTTTCTTCACACAACTAGAGCTTTCTTTTGGTGGTATTTAATCACCGCTGGGGTTTTTATTTTTTGCTAAATTAACAAAAAAAGACCAAAAATTTTGAAAAAAAAAACCACATTTTTATTTGTTTCTGTTATAAAAGTTTACAAATAAATAATTGTTCTTCATAAATTTAGGCCGAGATGTATTCTGCTACATGTCTTTGGTGAAAATAACCCAAATTAGGATGTATTTTTTAGTTTGTAGGAAAGTTATAGAGTTCACAAACTATGGTATAGATCTGAATATTGATCAATCCTGAAGTACTGACAGCCAATCTAATATCTTGAGGTCCAAGAATGTCAGAACAGTACAGATATCCCCCAAATGACCCCTTTTTGCAGAGTAGACAGTCCGACGTACTTCATAAGAGGCATGGCGAGTTTTTTGAAGTTGTATTTTTTTGTCATAATTTTTCGGAAAATTAAAAAATTAAAAAAATCACAGCTAGGCACTAGTATACAATGGATGGCATCATGAATGAAGCCATCCATTGTATACAACTGTCATGTGACCTGCTGTGACTGGTCACAGCAGGTCACATGGTATCAGCAACGGGAGCCGGTACCGGATCTGTCATCGGCCGTGTCCGAGGTGCACGAGCGGTGACAGATCGCACTGCTGCGTCGCTCTGCAACCGCGCAAACCGCGCATGTGTGGGAGCACGCCAAATGGCGTGCACCCGGACAGCTGCAGCGCTTTTCAAGCCGCCAAATGGCCATTGGCCGGGCGGCTAATGGTTAAGTTGCGTTACTGAAATCAATGAACTTTTGCACAATATTCTAAGTTTTTGAGTTTCACCTGTAGATCAAAGAAACCACTCACATGTCTCTTCTGCTAAATCAAAAATGTAACAGTGTCACCATGTTGGATTCTTAGGTGGTTTATTGTATTTTATATCTTTATCTTGATTGTTTTGTGCTTATAGTTGGCTTTATAGGTGAGTGGTAAGACAGACCACTTGGTACATATGAGGCAGACACAACATCATGTCACATATCTCGGTTGGAGAAAGCCAGATCAATAAAAAAAGGGGATCTAAGCATAGCTTTAGGTGTGATAAATGCTTAGTAGTGGTATTTTATCACTTCATAAGTATGATCCATGAAATGGCACCTGCTCAATAAGCCAGCAGCTAAATATCAACTGAAGATGCTGGTAAGACACACACAAAAAGGTATAATGATCAGGCCATATACAAGCTAATGCTACAATGTGTTCCCTTGTCCCAGAAACTGTTCAGAATCAGTGTTTGGACTTGTTTTTGGTACACAATGGGCATGCTTTATCACACAAGTGAAGAAGATCTTTAAGGAAAAAGAAGGTTACAAAAGAAAACTCCACCACAAATTTAAAAGTGTCTGTACAAAATTATATTTGGCATGTTCGGCAGCTTGAGTATTGTAGACTATGATTTTGATCTACTATGGGGCCATGGGCTGTTGATTTGCCAAGTGAAGTTGCACTTTGTAAGGGAATTCGTTTTGTTAATGTGATAAACTTTCTCTTGTCAAAGAATACCCAATAACACGAAAGGAAATGAAAAAAGCAGCATCTTTGCTTGCACATGATCAGATGATGGAAGTCAGCAGAGCACATTGCCTTATTCACTAAGTTTTGGGGCAAATTCCTTTCCTAAGTGAACAGCCTATTCACCTTTAGTAAATCAACCCCTATATACAAGTTAGCATTTAGACCCACATTTTCTATTTATGTAATTTTGAAATTTGTGTTCTAATTTCACTATGAATGTTAAAGCCTCCACACCATCCTACTCAAAGGAGTCAACATATAACTGAAGTTCCTCTGCCACCACAACAATTTTGCAACCGGAATAGACACAAGTATGCATAAAGTCCATTTTACATTGCACAGTCAACCTCAGATCTGGTTCATTTCTCCTCTTTCCTAGCTCTCCTATTATGAACTCATGAAATTGTGTAAATTTTCTGGAGCTTGATATTGAGAAAAATGGTCAAGCTCTGGAATTGGCAAACCCAAGCACATATACCTGATTGCAAAGTACGGCGGGAGCACCAGAGAGGGGAGACACTGTGCAGATCAGACACTGTAAACTAGTATTTTTACATATTTCTGCTATTTAATTTATTTTACAAAGTTACTGTGAAGCTCTGGATAGAAATAGAAATTTCTATTAATAATCCAAATATCCCACAGTCCCTATAACCACTTTTTGATGTATAAAGTGAAACTAAAGCCTCTCCATCAACATTAACAACAGTGTATATTTAATCCTTATGCTCCTATCATTAATAAATAGATAGGAAGGTATATTATATTAACTTCTTTTAAACTTTTTTTATACATTTCTGATCTGGTTTTTTTTTTTTTCTGACATGGGTCAGCACTCATTTCTAACCCAACTAGTAAACTTGCTTTTCAGTTTTTTTTTCGCCTGCAGAGCTATTTGATACAATATGTTCAGTCTGGCCACAAACTCTTATCAAAGACACTGCCTTAATCTCTTGGATAATAATTAGCAGTCTTTTGTTTCATAAAAAGTCTATGTTAGGGTAATTGTAGTTTAGCAGGCCAATTTAGCTGATCTGTATAACCTCCAAACTCCAGATGGTTTTTATAAGGAAAGTTATTCTAGATATCATGTGAACAAATTGACAAGAGATGCAAAATTCCTAAATCAAAGAGAAATGTGCATGCCTTTCCAATAGATGTTTATGTGATCATTGTGAAGTTTGTTTATTTATTTATATATTTATTTTGATCGATTTTTTTTAAGTCTGTTAAAACCCATTTACAAAACAAAGAAAGTTGGGCATTTGCCATTCTCTATATCCGTTATCTTAAAGTAAATAGTATGAAGAGCAAATTTAACAAGTCAGTCAAGGCTTTGTTGGCCAACAGACTCAGGATCTTCTTGGATTATGGCTTTGAATGAACTCCAGAGTCCTCATCTATTTGACCAACAGGAGACTACAAGAGAACTGATATAAAATGTAACATCTGTCCACCATTTTTTTAGAGTTAGGACTGCAGTATATTGAGGTGCCTTGACACGGCATAGGTGCTCCTACTTGGGAGACTCTTAAATTATTAAGTTAGGATTGCAGTACACTGGGGTGCCTTGATGAGGACACTGCAGCTTACTCATATATTTGAAAATGAGTGTGACCAAACCCCTTGTTTTGAACATGAACTGTTAGACAGGGCCAATTTGGATGGCTGGTAAGTGAACTAGGAATTTTTTTTTTGTCCTGTACACCATAACTAGGCTGATGTTGGGGGGGAGGGTGGCAAACTAACAACTATCCAGCTATCCATAAGTAGTAAAGAGTGCAAAGTTATTTTTTAGCAGCAAAGAAATCAACAGTAAAAACCAAACTACTGAAAAGCCATACAAGTTCCACCAAGTGACTGTTTCTACTGTACTGCTAGAGTAGTGTTTCTCAACCTTTTTTTAGTCAAGGCACCCTTTAAAATTGTGGACAGTCCCGAGTCACCCTTTATAATTATGGACAGTCTTGAGGCACCCCATTCTGATATGGGGTGCCTCAAGACTGTCCATAATTTTAAAAGGCACCCATTCTAAAATGTGGAAAACTATTCTAATAGTTTTATATAACGCAGCAACATCCACACATGTAGGACACCAAACATTAGAGTGATTTGTATTCTTGCAAGGCAAATACCTTTTGCACACTGGTACTGAGTGTTTTTTTTTTCTCCCTCAGTTTTCTCCATCACTGAGCTAATGTGACCCCAGCACTGATGAAGAAGGGCCAGGGGAGGGTCAAACTAGGATGCTGTGCAGGCAGCTGAAATCCTCCTTATCAGCTGATGATGTAATTGGCTGTCAGGACGCCGGCGGCTAGAAGGTCGTAATGGTGCACAATGAAAACATGTGGCTTTGTGTAACTAAAAGGCAGGCTTGTTCCACCCACTGGCTTGTATACAAGTTTTGTGGAATTTTTAGACATATTGCCAAGGCACCCCTTTAGAAGCTGCAAAGGCACCCCAGGGTGCCTGGGCATCCTGGTTGAGAAAGGCTGGTCTAGAAAATATATTTGCACATGTCTGTACAAGCAGCAATTTTAACCCCTCCCCGCAGTAAGTTCTTCCTATGACTAAGTAGACTCCCCTGCCAGTTTGAACACCCAAAGGCTAGTTCATGGGCAGTCGTGGGACAATATGAGCTTTTGGAATTATGGCGCAAAAAGTATAATGTGGACTATATGTGTGAGTACCTAGGAAACTCTGCAAAAAGTCCATATCAGTCCTTGTGGTACAATCCGAAGGCTGACAGTGCACATTCTATGCAGCACCTCTTGGAGACTGAAGAGATCTCTGAAGTGACAGTTAAGGCCGGCAGAGGGTGCAACTAAGTGTAGCAAATTACAGAATTTATTGTGCAAAATACAAATGGCAACGTACTCAAAAACAGTTAGAATCACTTTTCATCAATGTACAGCCTGATGTGATGAGTTCCTCAGTAAAGCAAGGCTCACTGATGGTATCAGTCTTGGGGAGGGACAAAGAGGCAGCTGCTGTATAGAAGACTGCCAAAACTAAGTGAAGCATTAATAATAGGAAAACCCCATCACACAACTGGGCAACTCACATAGTAAAAAGAGTATGTACTCATCACCACCACAGGCTCTGCAGTGTCAGGGATACCAGGCAGAAGCAAAGAATCAGGAAGGCAAGGGACTCCATAGACCTCATGACGAGCAGGAAGTTATGTACCATAGGGAAGGGTCATTAAAGGGGCGTGGTTATGTGTAGAGATAGCGAATTATTCAAAAATTTGGTTCGGCTGATTCGCCGAATTCGCCAATTAAATTCGCTTCGTGCCGAATATATTCGCTGCGAATTTTACTTATAAAAAGGGTGTTTCTAGGCTTCAGAGAGCCTTTATATTAGTGCAGAACACTGTACCTTTAATTTAAATGCCCTTGGAGTCTGCTGGGGAAGAAAAAAATAATACTGTCAGTCAGTATGACATGCAGATGAGTGCCGTCGATCTTAGAATCACCGCACACTTCACTCATTTGGCAGTCACGGGGCCAAAACCAGAGTGTGGAGCCACAGTGTGCGGCGGTGGAGCAGCAAGCAATGGGAGGCCATACAGCACCCTATGACAAAATGGAACCCACCAGCAGTGTGAGGAGACCTGAAAGTGGCACATGGCAGAGTGTGGCGATGGAGACAGCAGCAATGGGAGGCCGTACAGGGACCCATGACACACTCTGGACCTGGCAGCAGCAGCAGCATGAGGAGGCGGTACAGGGGCCCATGACAGATTACGGGCCTGGCAGCAGCATGAGGAGTCGGTACGGGGGGACCCATGGCAGATTACGGGCCTGGCAGCAGCATGAGGAGGCGGTACAGGGGCCCATGGCAGAGTGGCGGAGCGTAAGCAGCTAAAATTGAAGGCCATACAGAGGCCTATGTTAAAAAGTCCCCCCACAGCAGCGTGGGGAGACGACTATCAAGAAGTCCAATGGCAGAGTGCGAGAAGAAGCAGCTTCAATTCAAGGCCATACACAGCCTAGGTTAAAAAAGCGGAAGCCGTCAGCAGCGTGAGCAGACGACAGAGGACACATGGCGCAGGTGGCGGTGGATGCAGCAGTATTCGGAAGCCAAACACAGGCCTCGGTTAAAAAGCGGAAGCCGTCAGACAGCGTGAGCAGGACGACAGAGGCACATGGCGCAGGTGGCGGTGGAGGCAGCAGCAATGGAAGGCCATACAGCACCCTAATCACAAAATGGAACCCACCAACATGTAAGGAGACCCTGAAAGTGGCACATGGCAGGCAGGTGGCGGTGGAGGCAGCAGTATTCGGAAGCCATACACAGGCCTAGTTAAAAAGCGGAAGCCGTCAGCAGCGTGAGCAGACGACAGAGACACATGGCGCAGGTGGCGGTGGAGGCAGCAGTATTCGAAGCCATACACAGGCCTAGGTTAAAAAAGCGGAAGCCGTCAGCAGCGTGAGCAGACGACAGAGACACATGGCGCAGGGTGCGGTGGATGCAGCAGTATTCGGAAGCCAAACACTGAGGCCTCGGTTAAAAAGCGGAAGCCGTGAGCAGACGACAGAGACACAGGCGCAGGGTGGCGGTGGATGCAGCAGTATTCGGAAGCCAAACACAGGCCTCGGTTAAAAAGCGGAAGCCGTCAGCAGCGTGAGCAGACGACAGAGGCACATGCGCAGGGTGGCGGTGGAGGCAGCAGTATTCGGAAGCCACACAGGCCTAGGTTTAAAACTGAACCCAGCAGCGTGGAGCAGACGACAAAGACACACATGGCAGAGGATGGATCTGGCAGCAGTATGAGAAAGGCGGTACAGGGGCCCGTGGGCACAGTGTGGTGATGGGGGCTACAGAAACTGGATGCCAGAAAGTGGCCGATAGGGCTATATACTGCATGGTAATGAATTAAAGTTGTAAAGACAGCGGCCTATAAGGCTATACACACTATAACAATCATGACTGATTGACCATTGCCTATAAGGCTATACACAGCATGAATATCATGACTTATTCTGAGAGTGGTTTGGAAGCTATATATAAAAAGTAATTCATGAGAACTTGTCCGGACAGGGACAATATAGTAAATATATACAAATCAATTCATCAGCTGTCCAGCCAGCGGCCGCTCAAGGCACACATATCAGAAAGCCAATTCATAGAGCTGTTCAGACAGCGGGCTCTAAGGCGACAGATACTACAAAGCAATTCCTCCCGAGGTGTTCAGGGAGCGGCCCTGACTGGCTAGGGTTATTAGGTCAGTATGTGTCAGGAACTGGTGGTTTGAAAATCCAGACTAATCCACGCCTGATTCATTTTACAAACGTGAGTCTCTCCACACTTTTGGGTGGACAGTCGTGTCCTCCGCGGAGTTACAATACCTTTTTTTCCTTGCCGCACTAAACACGCTCCGATGCCACGCTACTGGCCGGGCATGACAGCCTTTCAAGGGCAAATACAGCTAGTTTGGGGCCAAAGGTCAAGTGTTCGTTGCCCAGTAGTCAAGGGGATTGTCTACCTCGGTTGGCAGGGTGCTGGTCCAAGTAAGGCCCGAGCCTGTTTTTTGAGGTCCTGCTCCAGGTCCACCTGATGCTTGCTGCTGCTGCGGCTGGTTATAGTTTCCTCACTGCGCTGGTGAAGAAAGCTACTCATCATCGACTGCCAGACTGAGGCAGCCGCTGCTGGTGGAGCTGCCTCACTGCTCCTCACCATCCCGCACCCCTCCCCTGCTGCCATGGGGGGCAGCGGGAACGACCGAGCGCACAGGGCCCACAGGTCGAGGACTGGACGTTGCGCAGAAAGGAAAGACCAAAACTGACTACAATAGGTGGTTTTTATAGTACTTATTTTGGCCTCGCTCTCAGCAGGTGTGAAAAAGGCCACCCATTTTTTTGAACGTAGCGAGGGTCCAACAAGGTGGACAGAGAAAAGTCATCCCTCTGTCTGATGGTTATTATCGGCTGTCGCTACGCAAGCAATCGAGCATGCTATGGGCCATTGTGCCAAGGAATGCGAGGGACTCCCTGCCTCCATCTCCACAGCATAACTGCCACGGTGCGTCTGGGTCCTCTGTCTCCTCCTCCTCCTCTACCAGATGCGCTGCTCCTCCACCTCCTGTCCGCTGAGTGGAAAAAACCACCCCTTTCACTCAATAATTCCTGAGCATCCAATGTCCTCCTCTACCTCCTCCTCTGTTCCTGTCACTGCGCCCCCACAGGGGTCATGTGGCGTTGAGATTCTGTGCGCCACGTCTACCGCACCCTGACCAGCCATTGTTAACAGCATTTGTTCCAGGACGTGCACAGAGGAATGACGTCGTTCCATCCCATAGTCCTGCCGACGAATCACACAATAGTCGTGGGCCATTTTTACCCTCCTCAAAGGGCCTGATAAACCCACCCCCTGCGGGCAGGTGCACGCATGACCCCCCCCCCCCCCCCCCTCCCCAACCAATGGCTGACATCTACCTTACAGCAGGGTTCGGGGGGAGTACCTTTTATCCGCTTGTAACATCAGGAAATCGGTGATGGCCTTTCGCTGTTCGTAAAGGCTGTCTAACATATGTAGGGTTGAATTCCACCTTGTTGCAACGTCGCAGATCAAGGCGATGCTGTGGAATTCCGTTCTGCCTCTGCAGCTCAAGGAGGTGTGCTTTGCGGAGTAGGAATGGCTTGAAATGCATGTCAAAGTTTACGTGACATTTTAAGGATGTCTTGCAGTGGATGTGTGATTTTAGGAACCGCTTGACAACCAGATTGAACACGTGAGCCCAGAACATGGCGCATGCACAACTCCCCCCCCAACCTTTCCGTTGACGCAGAGCACGACACCATGTTCTTTCCGTAGTCGGTCAACATGGTTTCCGATTTTCAGTTTGCGCGAGACAGCCATCTGTCGATTTCTCTCTGTTCATTACACTCAGAAGTTCCTCCCCTGTGTGACTACGTTCGCCAAGGCATTACCAGGTGCCAACGCACAGCGTGACACCGTTGCGCCCTGCACATGTGATATGCCGAGTCGGGTAATGGGACTCTGGCACGGGGGGTGGCGGCTGAGGACACGGCGGAAGAAGAGGTGGTAGAGGCGGACATCTTTTGCTGTGACCAAGGACGTGCAAACGTGGAGGCAAAAGCGGCATGACCTGTCCAAAGTTGCTGGTCGGCTGTGCCGGCACCAGCGTTCACAGCCATGGAACGTAAAATGACATGTACTGTCCCTGACCGTCAGTTTTACAGCTCCACACGTCGCGCTGCGTGCACTTTGCAGAGACCGACATGCTCAAAGACTGGCCCACCATCTCTTCTACATGTGAATGCAGAGGCTGCACTGCCTTTTTGGGCGAAGAAATCCGGCTTGGCACTCTCCACAACCGCGGCTCAGTCACAAGCCATCATTTCTCGGAAACGGTGCTGAGTCCACCACTTGGAAATGGAGGGACAGCAGCACCATGCAACTTGGACAGGAGACGTTCAGGCTTCTGCACCGTCGGGTGCGTGCTCGCAAACTGTTGTCTCTTGGAAACGGATTCCAAGAAAGACTGCTCACGGAATCCGTGAAGAGAGTAGCAGGAGAAGGAGCATCTGAAACGAGCGGAAGATGCCAACGAGCGACAACTCCCCTCAGCAGAGGTGTTGGAGCTTGACTGGCTGATAGAGGCGATTGACGTGGGTGACGGCAGTGCAAGTAACGGAGCGGGTCGATGGAGCGGGGCTGGGGCAGGCAGAACCGCCGTATCTTTATCACGTTTTCCCAGGCCACCGAATGGTGACGCTGCATATGCTGACGCAACGCTGTAGTCCCAACATTGGCCCCCCTGGCCACGCTTGACTTTGCTGGCCACATAGTCGACATACGGCTACGTTTACTTCCTCGGCGGCTTGACGAAAAATTGCCACACCGACGATAGGAAACTTTGCCCCCGTGCTACTCCTCACTGGCTGACGCTACTCATCCCTCCATGCACACGCGGCACACTACTGCGGCCGTGTGGTAGGCTGCAGTGGAGCTGGTGCTCTAACTCCATGGCCGTTTGCCTCCACTGACACTTGCTGCGAACCCTGCTGCCTCCTGGGCAACCCACCGACTGTTTTGCTCGCTGGCAAGCTGGCACCCTCTTCTCCTGATGATGCGGGAAGCAATAGCCTGATGACGATCGAGGCTGTGCCAAGTGCGATTCAGCCTCATCATCATTCAATTAGGGTCTCCGCGTCACTACTAGCCCCTCGGCTGCGTGTGGGTCAGGAGACAGACCTGTCCTCTAGACGGCTACCGAGCCCTCTCACTCTCCTCGCCAGTACTCTTCGCCTGCTGCTGAAGAGGCGGATGTCTCCCCCCGTTCCTGACTGCCCCTCGGTTAGCTCTTCCTCACTGTACAGTGGGACTGAGCCCACAGCATGCGATACTTCACTTGGTGAGGGAACACCAAAGGACAGGGGCAGGTCGAGGACACGTGATTTCAGTGAGGCTTGCATCCCGGGCCATGCCAACTAACGGTTGTGTCTGACGTACCCCACCGACCGTTGGCTGTAGGTGTCAGAGGTGACCTGGGGAAGAGGAAGACAACCGAGTCAATCCAATCGATGACGGCAGGGTTGTCGGTGGCGAGACACGACCCGCTGGTTGACACATGACACCGGGATCACTGGCCTCTGGCTGCGACTAGTGCTGCCTCGACCCCTTCCTCTGCTGCCACGTCTGCTCGCTCCTGAAACATATTGCCTCCTCTGCCACTCCTCTGCGTGTTGTCTGACATACTCTTTAATACAATAAGCACCACAAAAATAGAAAACCGGAAATTTAACTCTCTTGAACGGTACCAATAGTGGTTGTGCAGCAGAAAGTCAGTTTATTGTAGCAACCAATCGAGTCAATTGCAGCTTGCCCGTTGGCTGGAAACTGTTACGTTTAGGCGTCACAGGAATGCAGTCTAATCCCCCAAAAAAATATTACCTGAGGCCACCCGCGCGTGAAAACTGGATTCTAACACTTTGAAGACGTACACTAGTGGTTGTGAAGCAGAAAGTAGTTTATTGTACACAAATCGGTCAATTTGCAGCTTGCCGGTTGCTGGAAAACTGTAACGTGTGGTGGTCACTGGAACTGCACTAATCCGCACCCAACAAAAATACATGACCGGCCAGCCGGCGTGTAAATGGATTTAAACTCGTTGAACGTACAATAGTGGTTTGTGAAAGAGGCAAATGTCAGTTTTAATTTTGCCCATCGGCTCAAACTGCAGCACCAAACTGTGCACGAAGCCACCAAAAAAAAAAAGGTGTATGTCACTTTAAATTTTCGATTTTTATAGCTGTGGCCCTAAGGGGAACGATTCTTTTCCCTAGTAAAAGATTTTGTGTCCCTGGTAACGATTTTTGTGTCCCCCGAGTAACAATTCTGTGTCCCTGAGTAACGATTTTTGGGGCCCCCGATAACGATTCTTGGGCCCCTGAGTAACGATTTTGTGTCCCTAAATTTAAAAATTTTTTTTCCCCCGATAACAATTTTTGTGTCCC